AAAGCCAATTTAAAAAATGGCAGAAGAGCTGAACAGACACTTCTCCAAAGAAGAAATTCAGGTGGCCAACAGGCACATGAGAAGATGCTTCACATCACTAATCATCAGAGAAATGCAAATTAAAACCACAATGAGATATCACCTCACACCAGTTAGGATGGCCAACATCCAAAAGACAAACAACAAATGTTGGCAAGGATGTGGAGAAAGGCGAATCCTCCCACACTGCTGGTGGGAATGTAAAATAGTTCAACCATTTTGGAAAGCAGTATGGAGGTTCCTCAAAAAGCTCAAAATAGAAATAGCATTTGACCCAGGAATTCCACTCCTAGGAATTTACCCTAGGAATGCAGGATCCCAATTTGAAAAAGACATATGCACCCCTATGTTTATCGTATCACTATTTACAATAGTCAAGAAATGGAAGCAACCTAAGTGTTCATCAGGAGATGAATGGATAAAGAAGAGGTGGTACATATACACTGTGGAATATTATTCAGCCATGAGAAAACAAATCCTACCAATTGCAACAACATGGATGGAGCTAGAGGGTATTATGTTTACTGAAATAAGCCAGGTGGAGAAAGACAAGTACCTAATTATTTCACTCATCTGTGGAGTATAAGAACAAAGAAAAAAATTGAAGGAACAAAACAGCAGCAGCCTCACTGTACCCAAAAACGGACTAACAGTTACCAAAGGGAAAGGGACTGGGGAGGGTGGATGGGAAGAGAGGGTAAGGGGAAAGGGGGTATTATAATTAGCACACATAATGTAGTGGGTGGGGACATGGCGAAGGCAGTATAACACAGAGAAGACAAGTAATGATTCCATAGCATCTTACTATGCTGATGGACAGTGACTATAATGGGGTATGTGGTGGAGTCTTGTTAATAGGGGGAGTCTAGTGTCCACAACGTTGCTCATATAACTGCACATTAATACCAAAATATATATATATATGTATATATATACATATATACATATATATATCTAGATCCATAGCAATTATGGTTTCTTACTTACTAGGTGATTTGCTCAGGCTCATCTTCTCCACAGGTTTTGCTAGCTTGGGTTTCTTAATAAAGGTTCCACCAGGCTTATTAAATGGTTGTATCATTTTTCTCTTTATTCCTCTTGCAGCAGCAACTGTCACATTGGTGGGTTTGTTTTGATAGTCAACAACAATTCCAGGTCTATGAATGCTTCCAAAATCACTCATATGCTGCAAATTTGTGAAATCAAGAAACATTAGCATAATGTCCAAAAATAAAGCATGAAGTCATACAAAATTTAAATGTTATCTAACAATTTTCACCTGAAAATTCCTCAGAATGTAACTAAATTTTACATGTCCACTCTGAATATACACATTGAAACACTCTGTAGATTATTACTTGAACTCAAATCCAGTGAATTAGTATTATTTCCAGTAGAACAAATATAGATGTTTCCTACCTATTTTTATATTTTTACAATTCAAAATTAATTGAGATTATAACCAACACATGTGCCTGTCAGAATGTTACCACTTGTACAACTCTCTGACAACTCCTCTTCAGAGTTCCTAGTTGATGTTTTCCCATGAAAAGACCTTAAAAGAAACCTTTATTTTACTAAAACCTGGCTTAAAACTAAGAAACACAAAGAACACCATATTTGAAGTTGGAAGTAAAAAAGATCCTGAAATCATTTAGGATTTCTCCCTGTTGAAAAAGGGAATGAGAAGGCTAGATGGAACATTAGTATGAAATAGGAGAGTTAAAGCATAACCATGCATCAACTTCCAAGACACACTTCAGATAAAGAATTGCATCTGACGTTCCATACACATTCTTACCTAAAGAAACATATCCTGACCCAGAAGCCCAAGAAGCAAAAGTTTATAGACGAAGAGTCATGCATCCAAACGACTCTTTGTGTCCCTTCCTCTTCTCTTGTCATTAAGAAAATCCACTACACCAAGAGGCCATATGTCCATAGAAATTTATTCTGCTAACCTTACTTTCAGAAGATAGACATGAGGAGTAATCTGAAGAGAAGGATCCAGTGGGAATTGTACAAGTGAAGATTAAAAAAGAAAACCCTGTTGGTTCATCTACCTCATTACAGGAGGAAAGAAAGAAAAGTCCATTCAGACTAGAATGGTGAATACAAAGTACAGAAATATCTGTTTTTCTATCAGGAAAACAAAATTGATATTTGGCAGTCTCACTAAGAAAAAAATCATTTGCCAAAAGTAATATACAGCATGGAAAATGTTAAGTGTTTTCCAAATTTTCAAACTGGAATAGATTTTCGATGTCAAAACCAAAGCCTATTACCCCCAACTATTTCCAATCAACCTACAATCATAAAATAAGATGGAACAGCAACTTACCAGTTGCTTTTATTTGTATATTATGCTTAGGAATACCTATCTAACCTAGTAGACTTGAATAAATTGGTGTTACCAGGTAATTTATATAGCCACATCAAAAAAAACCTGCATTAGTTATCCATTAAAGGTGCAATGCATTTTACATAAGTAAAGAGTTAACTGTTATAAATGCAAAACTGCTACACAAGCATGACAAACTACACTGATGTACCAAAGGCTCATGAACAGTCAAAAACGTGTGCCCTACTATATTTTTTATCAGAAGTACTTTCCTCTGCAAAGCGAATATTAAGAGCAACTAAGTTTTAAAAAATAAAAACATTTCTTACATTATAGCAATACAATATTCCTTATATGATGAAACTACATAATAAATCCACAATCTATATACACTTACTAGGTAAAACTTCATGTCAGTTAAGTTACCTAAGAAAATAAGGCATAATTTTTATACTATATACCCTGAAAGTAAACACTTGAAGACTAGCATATTTATTCATTGAAGAAATAATTTACAAAATATTACTTCCTAGGAAGGATTCATAGACATGTTTGTACAGGTAGGAAATTATTTCTCAATAGAAAAACTAGTGACACATAGAAAACAGAACACCCAGCAATAGAACATAATCTAAGAGAGTGAGTTAGCAAATTATACTGACCACAAATCATTCTCTAACCTACTATACATGTCAACTTTTTCACCATGTAAACATGGCTAAGCTACCCTCATCTATCACCAACTTCTGGTCTCTTGTGTTTAATGTGAAATATGGAGCTCTGAAGAAATCCTACATGCTAGAGGTTAGCAGCAAAATATAAACATTTATCATACATTGCACCTTTAACCTACTCAACAACTCCAAAAGGGTTCAGTTACCTTTTATAATAATCCAAGAACTGTCCCAGCAGCAAAACTGCTAGTGTTTACAAGGAAAAATGCAACTCCTTTTAACCCCTTTTAGACCAAACCGAACATCCTCACCTTTTTAATAAAGGGAGATTTGGCAAAACTTTATGAACAATCATCTCACACTGGCACTTATTTTCTAAGGTGCTGGAAAAACTTATACAAGAAATCTAAAAATTATGCTTATAACTCAGCTTTTGCTTCAAAATACACTGGGATGAACAGTGTTTACTCTAGTTGAAAACCATGGTCTTGAAAGGGTTTAAAAGAGTGACTAGTGAAAAGAATCTGAAAAGATTCTGTTGTACTTACTCCTCGGCCTCGGCCTCTGCCTGTTGATGGTCCTCCAAAAGCATCATAGTTTCTGCTTCCAAACGTACTTTCAGGATAAGCAGGCGTTCCTCTCCCCCGAGAGCCTACAGGTGCAGGCTTCATATGGGGTGAAGAAAAACTGCTGTAGGAAGAGTAATTCTCTCTTCCTCTGTCCTCCATAAACCCAGGCCTCAATTTTGAACGGGAGTAAGGTGCTTCCCAGCTAGACCCGCCCTGGTTTCTACCTCCGAAAGAGTCAAGGCTATTCCGGTAGGAGCTCTCAAATCGACCACCATAACTACCTCCGAAGCGGCTTTGTTCGGGTTCATTAAAACCATAGCCAGATCTGTACAGATCTCGCCCACCCAGAGAAGACCTGGAGTCGTAAGACTCATAAGGTCCAAACCTGGAAAAGTTGCACAGTGAGGGAAAAAACAAAAGTAAGCTTACTAATGTTAGACAATTCAAAAGACAAATTATCAGATGACATTTATCAACTAAAATTCATTTATACCATACTAGTTTGCACAGTTCTACTTTTGTTCACACTTGATTAGGGCTGGGCAGTCCAACATGAGACCAGATAGAAAGCTACCTGAGTCAGTTTTTAAATATGATTTGAGTCAAGTAAGCCTTAGCTTAAAAATCTGCTTTTTAGCAGCTTTTCTACTGTTATCAAAAAGAAGATTTGTCTCTCATTATTTAAGCCCAGCGCTAGTCTTGGAAAAAGTCATTTGCTAAAGTTCACAAACTATTCAAACTTTCTTTGAATCCATCCCTAATACCAGAAAATACAAAATATTTACAGTATTTTGGCTTTCAGTTGGGAAACAAATTGAAGACTACAAAGATGTACAAAATACGCTATTTGTGACACATAAGAGATCCTTCTGCACCTCCAATAATCTATATCACAAAACTGCTTCATTGTGGCTGTAGGAGTCAAATTTTGGAGAATTATCTCTGGTTATAAAACTTGACAATCTGCCAAACTTTGGCTAAGGTCAATAATCAATCCTCAGTCACTTTTCACATATGGACTAGAAAATCTAACAAATCTAAAAGGATAAGCACATAAAAGACCACCAACATATATCCCCTGCATATGAATTTTCAAAGCAGATGAGAAACAATACATTTTATAATGTGTTCTATTACTTGAAAAATTATCTACTGGCAGGAAATTATCACATAAAACTACTCTAAAAAAAGGGAGTACACAGTCTCCTCCAGGTTTTAATCAAGTCAGCAGAAGAAACAAATCATCTCACAAATCTAAAGCATGAATTACAGAAGTTGCTTGGTATCTTACAACATAGTTATGCAAAGGCCCACAATTATACAAGATAAACAATAACATCTACATAGTTTATGTACATTACATTTACAATGTAATAGGGCAATAACTGTTATATTAAAACATTTAAATGTGTTACATTACTTAGATTATTACACATCACTAAATAGAAGGTACTATTTGCCTGTGAATCCTAGGAACCATATAAAAATTACTCCTCTTTCCAACTACATTTTTCAGAACATCTATCACATAAGAAAAACTATTGTATCTGTTTATTTTTCTTGATTTTTTTCCTACTATAAACCATAGTGGCACACTTGAGGCAGAAAGGAGAGTAAGTATCATTCAGTACATACAGTCTTAAGGAATCCGATCCTTTATTTATGAAGAAGGATGATATTTTCAGTGTTTCCTAACTAGTTTTACTTACTAGTGGGAATCTTTGTGCCTCAAAAAGTAGACCCCTTCACATGAAATGTGGTCAACCCTAAAGCCTGCAGTAGTTCAACTAGTTTAAGCTTTACACAGTATCAACAATGAAGTATAAATACAACCTCAACTCCAGTGCATTAAAATAAGTAAAGGTATAGTATTCATGGCTTTAATACAATGTTCCTAGACTAGAGCACAAGTGTCGCTGGTGTAAGCAGTGCCTACCAATAAATAACCTACACATGATTTAAAGAAAATTGTTATTATAAAATGCTCTTCCAACTTACTTTAAAATTTAAATTTTAAAAATACCTATCGTCAATATTTCTTAGAAATTGAATGCTACTAGGCTTGTTCACTTAAACCCATTCTAGTCAGATTGCTTTTCTGTTTTACAGAGCACCCCACATTAGTATAAATTTCTTAAAAATCATAAAGAAAAAGCTTCACAAATAGTATTTCCAATAACATTTTTGCATCATTTGTTCAGAACATTCTGACTCATGAGTTAGAAGTAAAAGAAGAAAAAATAAAAAGTTCACTGCTAAAGACAGAAAATTTCACTGTTCTATCAAAATGATAATAGCATTCTGAGGTTTCCTTAAAATATGCCTGCCAGTGACCCTGAGATAATTTTTATAACTATTAAGACTATTAAACACTTAAGGTGATTATTCAATATCAAATAATGTAGTTCACATATCATAACACTCTTTAAGGAATACTTAAATTATAATATCCAGAATCTTACAATCATCTAATTATTTGGCCAAATGATTAAGCAATTTACCTGCTACCCCCACCACCACCACTGTGATTGTCCATGCCATATGACTGGTTTAGGTAGGAGTCCATGGATCTTTGACCCCCATAGGATCCATGGCCATAGTCACGATCCATCCCTACAAAGAGTTTAAAAAGAAAAAAATTAAATGATGCTCACCTTTACTGGCACTCAAAAGAAGAATTTTTAGATAAATATCCTTGAATATCAGACCTCCATAAGATCCAGGGCCATAATCACGATCCATTCCTAAAAAAAGATTCAATTACAAAAGGTCAGTAAAGTGTAACATTCTCTTCAGGAATCTTTGCATAAAGCATGAGACTGTCATGTCAATACTGAGATAATAATTCATCATTAACATTTAAGCTAAACTCACACTAGACACGTAAGGAAAACACACAGATGATAATGTACTGAAAAATCAAATTTCCTAGAAACCCAATTTTTCTAAGAAGAACATTAATTAAAGAGCTCTATATTAGAATTAGTTTCGATTTAACTACAAAGTTATTTGACTAGAGAACTACAGTAAGGTCCTGTAGGTACTATATAGTATATAATTAATAACAAGTAATTCTTTTCTCAAGAAGTCAGCATTTAATAATGTCAAAAGGGAACAATTTTGTTACTATTTTTCTGTAGCTAACCACTCTCAAATGTCTGAAAACTCAGAACCAGACACATTTTCAATTAGCCTAATTTCAATTAGTTCATATAATAACTGAAATAAATTATTTTTAAAAAGTAAGATCAGAATGGGTACAATCTATGGTACTGTACCTGCAAATAATAGTAACTCAACAAATAAATTTAAATCCTCAAATACTCTGAGTAAAGGGTATGAATATAAATTTTAGCAATACAAACACTAAAAAAAACCTAATACAGTAAGAGTATTTGGTATGTTTTATTACACTTTAATTCCACCTATACTCCAACTTACGATATGAAAATTAAACACAACAGGTAATAAAATGAATCTGCTATGATTATAGAAATGAGAAAATTTAAAAACCATTTAGAATGTGTTTCCTATAAAGTTCTTTAAAAACCTTCATTACCACTCTCCCCAAATTTTACAGACTAATACAATAGCATACACAGAGCAAATACTGTTAACTTATATTTTTAAAAACACTAAATTTTAATTACAATCATTTAAATATTTCTGGTATTTGCAACATCATTAATAGCAGTAACAATTTTACAAAAATAATACTCAGAATCTTCCAACTTCAAACCTGAATGGGACCTAAATGATCATTTAATCTTCTCATTTTATAAATAAGGGAACTAGGTCCAATGAGATGAAACGATTTTCCCAAAATCCCAGAAGTAGTGACCCCTCTAGCTTCATGCTGTTGCTTCTACATCAAACATTCTACTCTTCCACCCCACACACCTGTTTATTGAAATCTTCTAATCTTTTACAGTTCATTTCAAACCCTAATCCTTTCAAAAACACTTTTGAAATTATCATCTCTTTCTTCTGAAAAGCTACAAAAGTTTGTAGCTCTCATGTAATACTCGAGATACCCTGCCTTACATTGCATTTGTGGGCCTCACCTTAAGTGTATACTAGATTCTGTAGTCAGGGTCTGATTTTCACTTATTTTTATATACCCTAGAGCAGTAGTTCTCAAGGAACAATTTGTTGACCACTAGGAGTTACCAGGACCCCTCCTTTAGGTGGTCCAAAAGGTAAAATATTTTCATAAATAATACTAACACATTATTTGCCTCTTTCAGTGTTGATAGTTTCATTGAAAATGCAAAAGCACTGGTGGGTAAAACTACTGGTGTCATAAAACCAGACTGTGTTAGTAGTCACTGTATTTTCCAACATCGCACCCTTGCAGTAAAAACTAATGAAATTAAAATGTCACCTGCACTTCAAATGCTCTTAATGAAGTAGTTAATGAAGAATTATTAATTTTATTAAATCATGACCTTTGAGTGCACTTCCTTTCTGATATTCTGTGTACTAAAGTGGCAAGTACACAGAAAGCAATTTGGCTGCATACTAAAGTACCATAGCTCTCTCCAGAAAAAGCATTACACAAGTGTTTGGTTTATGAACTGAATTAGTGACTTTTTATAAGGAATACCACTTTTACTAGAAAGATTAACATTCAGAAACTATGGCTTTCAGACATGGGCATCTGGGCAGACATTTTCTCAAAGTAAACCTAAGTGAAAATGTCACTTTAAGAAAAACAAGTGACAGTAATCGTCAGTGACAAAATTTAAGCTTTCAAGTAAAGTTAGAATTTTATAAAACTTGCAAGTACTACCTTAAACCAGACAGCTTTCTAATACTTAAAGGCTTTCTGATAAAATCAATAGTGGTATTAATGAATGTAACTTCATTTATATTGTACAATACAATCTGTCAATATTTGGAAAATCTGAGTAACTCAGTAAACCAGTATTTTCCAAGTAACTAATGCCTGATATTACAGGATCATACATGGTAAAAAGACCCATGCAAAGTTTAAGACATACCAATGGATTTTAATACAACAGAATACAAGCCATTTATCAATATACAAAAGCATTAATAAGTTATTTTACATTACTTTTTACACGAAGACTTCTAACCAGGTAATTATATTTATAGCACATCTCAGTTCAGACTATCTATGTTGCGAGTGCTCAATTGCTACATGTGGTTAGTAGCAACCATGAGACAACACAGTTCTAGACTAACAAAACAGTCCATTATTTGTGTTTAGAGTTGATAAGTACGTAGTATAATATATGCTCTTATCTCTCATATAAAAGACAATTTTGAGATTAAAATAAAGTTTTCAGGATAAAAACTTTCCTCTAAAGCCTTGTATTAAAGAAGCATCTTAGAGTTTAGGCAGGTACACAAAGCAAAAAAACCATGTATTTTGTTATTTCTCCTAGTTGCTATTTTGAGTTAGCAGAGACTGCCTCTGGATATTAACTCCTTCAGTTTTTTTATTTTTATGTTTTTATTTCACTATGGAGTCATAAATTACTAGTCTTATTGAACACTCACCTTGTGCCAGGCACTGTGGAGTACAAAAATTAATAGTTACCTTTATATAGCAATGACTTTGCTTTATTGCTCACAGTACTGTTACAACTCAGTTAATTAAAAAGGAAAAAAAGAAAAGTCTTTATACTGTATATAATCAGTGTGATTATAGGGATATATTGTATAAGATGACTATTTATATATGAACACTATTCTTCCAGGTTATCAAATGAACTTAAAAATCATTTTAAAAACAAACTATAAGCATACATTGTATCTCCCAAAGGAGAAATTCGGTTGGCAAATGGGCACATGAAAAGATGCACATTGCTAATCATCAGAGAAATGTAAATTAAAACCACAATGAGATATCACCTCACACCAGTTAGGATGGCCAACATCCAGAAGACAGACAACCACAAATGCTGACGAGGATGTGGAGAAAGGGGAATTCTCCTACACTGCTGGTGGGAATGTAAATTAGTTCAACCATTGTGGAAAGCAGTATGAAGGTGAGGAACCTCCATTCCTCAAAAAACTAAAAATAGAAATACCATTTGATCTGGGAATTCCACTTCTAGGAATTTACCCAAAGAATGCAGGATTCTAGATTCAAAAAGACATACGCACCCCTATGTTTATTGCAGCACTATGTACAATAGTGAAGAAATAGAAGCAACCTAACTGTCCATCAGTAGATGAGTGGATAAAGAAGATGTGGTACATATACACAATGGAATATTAATGAGCCGTAAGAAAACAAATCCTACAATTTGCAACAACATGAATGGAGCTAGAGGGTATTATGCTCCGTGAAATAAGCCAGCAGAGTAAGACAAGTACCAAATGATTTCACTCATCTGTGGAGTATGACAAAGAAAAAACAAAACGGCAGTAGACTCACAGAACCCAAGAATGGACTAACAGTTACCAAAGGGAAAGGGACTGGGGAGGGTGGATGGGAAGGGAGGGGTAAGGGGAATGTATTTTGTTATTTCTCCTAGTTGCTATTTTGAGTTAGCAGAGACTGCCTCTGGATATTAACTCCTTCAGTTTTTTTATTTTTATGTTTTTATTTCACTATGGAGTCATAAATTACTAGTCTTATTGAACACTCACCTTGTGCCAGGCACTGTGGAGTACAAAAATTAATAGTTACCTTTATATAGCAATGACTTTGCTTTATTGCTCACAGTACTGTTACAACTCAGTTAATTAAAAAGGAAAAAAAGAAAAGTCTTTATACTGTATATAATCAGTGTGATTATAGGGATATATTGTATAAGATGACTATTTATATATGAACACTATTCTTCCAGGTTATCAAATGAACTTAAAAATCATTTTAAAAACAAACTATAAGCATACATTGTATCTCCCAAAGGAGAAATTCGGTTGGCAAATGGGCACATGAAAAGATGCACATTGCTAATCATCAGAGAAATGTAAATTAAAACCACAATGAGATATCACCTCACACCAGTTAGGATGGCCAACATCCAGAAGACAGACAACCACAAATGCTGACGAGGATGTGGAGAAAGGGGAATTCTCCTACACTGCTGGTGGGAATGTAAATTAGTTCAACCATTGTGGAAAGCAGTATGAAGGTGAGGAACCTCCATTCCTCAAAAAACTAAAAATAGAAATACCATTTGATCTGGGAATTCCACTTCTAGGAATTTACCCAAAGAATGCAGGATTCTAGATTCAAAAAGACATACGCACCCCTATGTTTATTGCAGCACTATGTACAATAGTGAAGAAATAGAAGCAACCTAACTGTCCATCAGTAGATGAGTGGATAAAGAAGATGTGGTACATATACACAATGGAATATTAATGAGCCGTAAGAAAACAAATCCTACAATTTGCAACAACATGAATGGAGCTAGAGGGTATTATGCTCCGTGAAATAAGCCAGCAGAGTAAGACAAGTACCAAATGATTTCACTCATCTGTGGAGTATGACAAAGAAAAAAACAAAACGGCAGTAGACTCACAGAACCCAAGAATGGACTAACAGTTACCAAAGGGAAAGGGACTGGGGAGGGTGGATGGGAAGGGAGGGGTAAGGGGATTAAGGGGCATTACAATTAGCACACATAATATGGGGTGGGCACAGGGAAGGCAGTACAGCACAGAGAAGACAAGTAGTGACTCTATAGCATCTTACTACGCTGATAGACAGTGACTGTAATGGGGTATGTGGTGGGGACCTGATAATGGGGGGAATCTAGTAACCACAACATTGCTCATGTGATTGTATATTAATGATACCACAATAAAAAAAAAGAATGCATTATCTCTACTATTAAATAAGTAATTCACTAAAAAATAAAACTGACCTAATATCAAATCTATCACTTTGATTACTCTACCATGATAGATTAACAAATGTTAAAACTCATTTACAATTAATCAAAAGGAAGGAGCTGTGTAGTAGTAGGAAAAAACAACTGATTTATGATTACAGTAACTGAGTTGTGTGACACTAAGTCTTGAATGGCACCACTTTTTACCACCTCGACACTACTACTAGCATCCTCACGCAGGCCATGAGCATCTCCCACCTACATTATTGCAATACCCTGCTAACTGGTTTTCCTGCTTCCACTTTTGCTCCCTTTCTGCTTATTCTGAAGAAAATAGCCAGAATAATTCTGCTAATATATAACCTAAATCATGCATGTTTCATGCTCACTACCTTCTGATGGGTTTCCCATCTTACTCCAAATAAAAGCCAAAGCCTTAAAATATGCTAGAAGGCCCTATACCAGTTCTTAACTAGGGACAATTTTGTGTCCCAGGGGACATCTGATAATGTCTGAAAACATTTTTGGTTATAACAACTGAAGGGCAAGTGCTACACACACTTAATGCAGAAGCCAAGGATGCTGCTAAACATCTACAATGCACAACAAAGAATTATCCAGTACAACATCAATAGTGCTGAAGCTGAGAAATCCTATGCTATATATGATCCACCCCACCCCCTCTTAAATTCATCTTCTACTATTCCCCTTATTCACTATAGTGCAACTATACTAGGCCCATAACTATTCCTAGAATACAACTGGCATATGCCCTTTTTTGAACCGGCTGTTCCCTCTGCCCAGAATGCTCTTCTGTATCTGTACTGCTCACTCCCTCAACTCTTTCAGGTCTTCACTTTCTATTGCTTCTTAGATATATGCAAATTATCTTTGATTTTCAATGCCTTCTGGCAACAACTTATCATTCTGACCTTAAGACTTCACAGCAAAAACCATTTGCTTTAGTCAGCCAGTCTTCTACATATCTCGGAAGCACAATGCACTCAGCTCGAACTTTGTTTGTACTTTCCCGCTATCTGGAATGCTCTCCCCTTTTTTGTTTGCTTTTTATAAAAGAGGTATTTTGGAACATGGAGACACTGGAAATACAACTTCCTTCCAAGAAATGGTGCAGAAGAAATCTGTATCTTCCCATTTTCCCATGCCTTCTACTTCATTTCAGTTGCTGGAGAATACAGTGTTAACAATGGATTATATTGCTGGTGTCATTTGGCAACTACTTACCTCTTATAGCCTAAAGCCTGTAACATTCTTCCAGCCTGTAACATTCTTCCTCTAGATAGCCTCACAGCTTGAATCCTCACCTCCCTCAAATCAGCGCTCAAATGTCACCTTCTTAGTGAGTCCTTCCCAGCTACTCTCTTTATAATTCTAACACAGATACACACACACACACACACCCCTACCCTGTGTTATTTTGCTTCCTAGCAATGACTACCACCTAACATACAATATATATTACTTATTACTTCTTCATCTTGTTTACTGCCTATTTCATCCCACCAGACTAATCTCCACAAGGGCAAGAGTATTTGTCCCTTTTGTTTACTATTATATTGTCAGTTCCCAGAACAGTATCTGAATATCTGAACAGTGATTCAATAAATATCTGTTGAATAAAGTCAAATTACATCCCTGAAATTAAGTTCTTCTTCATAAAGTGTACATAATTCAGACTTGAAATATTGTCAAGCACTGGTCTTTAACCAGCAGTATATTCCAAAATCATTCAGAATACTTTTTCATAACATACACAGCCAGGAACCACTTGCCATAAAATTAAGATTTCAGAGAACTAAAGTGTGTCCTGAACAAACATACTTTGAAAGAGCTCCCCAGGGGAGTCTAACAATCACCCTCAAATGAGAACCACTGTTAAAACTAAAATTAACAGAAAAAGTCATAACATTAGTAAAACAATAACCAAAAAAGATACATGCAGCCTGTTCATTGCAGGATTATTTACAATAGCCAAGATATGGAAACAACCTTAGTACCCTTTGGATGAATAGATAAGAAATTACACACACACACAGAAATATTATTCAGCCTGAAAAAAGAATGGACTATTACCGTTTGTGACAATATGGATGGACCTTGAGGTCATTACGTTAAGTGAAATTAGCCAAACAGAAAGACAAATACCATCTGATTTCATATATATGTGGAACTTAAACAAAACACAAACAAACAAGATGCTATACTCATAGATACAGAGAACAGATTGGTGGTTGCAAGAGGAAAGAAGTGGTAAAGGCGGATGAAATGGGTAAAGGGAGTCTAAAGGTACAAACTGCCAGCTATAAAGTCACAGGGATGCTATGTACAGCATGGTGACTACAGTTAACAAAACTATATTGTATATTTTAAAGTTGCTAAGAAAATCTTAAAAGTTCTCATTACAAGAAAAAAATATGTAACTATGTATGGTGACAGATAACTAGACTTATTGTGGTGATCATTTTGCAGTGTTTACAAATACTGAATCATTATGTTTTACACCTGCAACTACTTTGTTATATGTCAAATTATACATGAATAATAAAGTGCATCTTGTAACAAACCAAACAAGTTATAACATTTGTGATAGAAATATCTGAAGCTGTTTCTGCAACAGTGTACATTAAGAAAATAAACTTCTGGCCCTGTATGATACTACATCTCAGTCTTACATTTGGATACCAAGTCCAACTTTCTGATAAATCCTACTGGAGATTACAGCCTTTTATCATTCCAAATCTATCTCTTTGGTAAAAGTACTACTCCTACTTACTCCAATTTAAAATCCTGGGTTCATTTTTATTCATCATTTTTAATTTTCTACTCACTACTAGTCATCCTGCAAGTTCTGCTAATTTTCTCTAGAAACAACTTAATATTTATTTAAATTAGTATTGTCTCCTCCCAAGTTCTGGGTCTTAAAATCCTTACACCTAAGTTTATAAAAAAGCTTTGTATCTAATATTACAGTTTTTCAATCTATACTAAATGTAAATGCAAATTAAGCTTCCACTGGTAATTTTATTATGTCATCGTCCAGCTCAAAAATATACTCCTCAGCATTCAAAGTTTAATGACTACTTCATATGTTGAGTCTTTTCAGCCTACTTCAAAGTTTCTCAGAACTTGACTGGCTGGTAATTATTCCCATAAAATGATATAGTATTCTTTATTTGCTAAGTACATTTGCTTCAGTTCTATTTTGTAAACATACTATATTCTGTATAACAGATGAATTTTGCATTTCTCTGGCAATCAGGATATTTAACTCCTCTCTCTGAGGTCCTTCATATCATGCCTTTTTTTAACCTCTTCAAATTGTTCTATATTCTTTTTTCTGCGATCATCCTGTCCGGCAGAGCCTTAACTTTAATAACTACCAAAATAACATACAAATGTATTCTGCATACTTCTTATGCTCAATGCAGTCACACTCAAACATCATGCTTATGTCAATAACCAGGCTTCTTCCTGTGCTCCTCTAAGACAGGTCTTTATATACTAATACATTTGGACACATTAAAACAAATGACCTCAAAAACAAAGTCAAAATGCATTAAAATAGAAGCAATATTGAACCAAGCCAATAATCCACTTAATCCACTTTACTCAATATGAAAGCCTCTATTTCAACAACAGTAACTCAGCTAGTTTTCTTGTAACTCATCACTTAGAATGTAGTTAGGGTCCTTTGGAATAAATTAAAGGAGTCATAATTCCAATAAAACAAAGAGCCAAACTTATCTGAATAGCCCTAATTTACTCTGATCCCAAATTCCCTAATTCCTGTATTACATATAGTTTAACACTTAGAAGTGATACATTAATAAACAAAACAATGACTGCTGCTAGCTTTTTACATTGTTACTTTATGTGTACACAAAGAAAAACTGAAATGTATTCCTTTAATGTAGTTAAGAGCAAACGAAAGAGGATACTCACCATTAAAGCCCTGATAAGTATTTCTGCAAGCAGAGTGTGTATAATCTATGAAGACACATTTAACAGAAAGGAATTAGTGCAATATTAGCAAAAATCTGAAATTATACACGCATCTATTCAAAACAAATACATATTTTTAAATGCCATTAATTATCTGTAAAAATAGGTATATACAATTATGAATATTTCATCTGGGATAACATATTTCTCTTTCTTGTCACTATCTCCCCAAATAGCAGGTTTTTCATTGAAATTATGGTAACATAAAAATCAACTTATAACACCTGATACATAATAAAAGCCGAAAGAGGAGCTCCAGTACTGGCTTATATGGAATGACAACAAGAAAGGCAGACAGATTAAATTATGTATCAACTAATGCAAAAAGCAGAGACATCTGAAAATTGATATTATGTGATATATAATTATTTCAAAGTTGATATTGTCTTTATAAAGATCTCAAGATCTTACTTGAGAAATGCTTATGGCTGTATCGGTGTGTGCTATGTATATCTAGGATGTGTTATCACAGAAAAACATTACTGGCAATTTTCCTGTCAAAACTAATTTGGCAATTGTTAAATCCTTTAGTTAATTTTACTAATAAATACTGAAAGAAAGGAATTTAATTTGGATACAACAGAATCCAGCTATAATACACAGGATTAGATTAAGATACACAGTTTGTCAAATATAGTGGTGCGGGCGGGTGAGGAGGGAGCAGGAGAGAGAAAGTATTTTATCACTGACATGGTTTAGAATTTTATCACTGACACTGTTTAGAATTGTAGGCATATGATGATAATAAAAAGCAGACAGACTATGTTTTATTATTGTTTTACAATTCTCTACAGAAACTGGATTCCCTTATGAGGAAAGGGGACCATTCTCATGGCTCCCTTCCCCTACTTGAGTAGCTTCTGCTAGACTGAGCATTGGTACTGTCATCAAACTTTGGCAAGAAAACAGAGCAGTATTTTTTTAATTTCATTCCCAATTCTGGCCCTTCAAATAAACAAAATTTAACAGTATCCACATCAAAATGAGTCAAATTCCAACTAAAACAAACAAAAACACCAGAGTGCGCTACTGTTAATAACTTCCTATTTCAAAGTAACTTAAAAGTGTCCACAAAAGGAGTATTTCAATCCACCTTCACACACTTAGATTTGGCAACCTTAACTCTTTGTGATACAAAATCAAATCAAAGCTCAGTAGTTCATTAAGTCAGACTAACATGCTGAGATCATTTACATGATGAAATCACTCCACATTTAATATTAAAGATAATTTTCTGGTTGGCTTAGAAGCTCACAACTAGTCAGTTTTTAACTGAACTGGTTTTATTTAGAAATGTCTGGTTACTCAGGATGAAATCCAGTTTAATCATTCAAGCCCTTATTTAACGTATCTTGACACCAATTCCTATAAAAGTTGGTTTATATGGAATTATAAGACAAATTTGAAGAAATTTGAAGACAAGGTGAAGACCAAATTAATTTTACTTTGTGACCCTGTGGAAATGGTGTAAAGAACTGGTGTGAGAGACAACTGAAAGGTATTGCTAAAATGCAGTTTATCTAAACAGTAAACCCACCCAGGCGTCTGTGTATAGGTCTGAATTTGAAGGGCATGTGATACTGCGCCAGAATTCTGATAATTTAAGTCCCATTCATACACAATCCGAAGAAAAATACTTGGGTTCACATAAGTATTTCTAATTAGGAATTAAGGGTCAGGTCATTTGGGTGGATAAACACCCTAGGTTTTCCAACCAGAAATACCTTACTTTCCATTCTGTATAGACTCTACCCATACTTAGCGCTTACACACGCCCTTTAAACTCAACTTAAACGGAGACAACCAGGAACATCGCTGTGAACAAGCCTCTGAAAACTGTACCTGGCAAGAAGGAAGCGGGGACTGAGGCTTTGCTAAAAGGACGAGCTGGGTCGCCGCCCCGTGGGGCGAAGGCGAGGCCAGGCGGCGGAGGCTCCACCTGCCCCTTTGCCCGAGACGGGGAACTGGAAGCGCCGGGGCGATTTCCACGCACCGGGCCGGCGCTAGTCCAGGGCCCGAGAAGGGAGGCCGCCGCGGGCCGGGAGCGTCCTCCTCCGCACCGGGCAGGCACGGAACGCCAGGTCCCGGGCGCCGGGATCCGGGCAGCGGGCCCCCAGAGGCCGACTCCGAGCGCCGGGCCCGCGGCGGGCGGGCGGGCGGCCTCCGGGCCCGCAGAACAAAGCCCGCAACGGCCATCTTGAGACGGTAAACAGACCCCCGGGGCGGCCACCCCGCCTCCCGCTAACCGCGGCACCCGGCCAGAAGCTGCGCTTACCGTCCTCGAAGTCCATGTTGAAGGCTCGGGCCCACGGCTCGGCGGCGCTGGGCTAAGCTGTGGCCGGAGGCGAGCGCCGCGACGCGCGGCTACACACCGCCAGTCCTTGAGACCAAGAGCAGCGCTGCCGGCCCGGGAGCCGCAGGCCACGGTGAGGCTGGGGGGCGGAGCCGGTCGGCGCTCGGCCGCCGCAGCGCAGCCTGCGATTGGCTGGCGAGGGTTGGTGGGCGGGCCCTCGAGTGGGGGCGGGAAGCAGGTCCGCTGTCAAGCTCGCGGATGCTGACCCTTCTGGAGTCTCCGTGAAGGAAGGAAGGTGAAGGAAGAAAGGAGTGCCGACACTGGCTGGGGTTTCTGAAAAGCCAGCTGCGTCTCCTGGAAAGGCTGGCTGCGGCCCGCCATTTTTGATCCTGGCAAGACCGAAAGGATCTGGTTGGAATACCTTCCTCCTGCCCAAGCTAATAAACCACGTGCCGACCTTCTGCTTTTTTTTGGCCGATGATGACTGATCAGAAAATTAAAATACTTAGGGACTTCTGCCCTGTAGACGCCAAAGTCCCAGAAGTTTTTCTGAACTCTGAGCAGAGGAGAACCGATTGCTAAAAAGGATACAATTATGGGAGTGATCCAAGACAGGCTATTATCAAGTTCCAGACTTTGAGGTACGAAATAAAAACGTTGTAAAAGTTCACAAAGAAGATTTGTGGCAGAAGTCCAAAACTTGCAGGACCACGCCCTGCCCCTCAACCCCCCATCCCCGAAATTGGCTTTGTATTATTGCCTCTTTGGAAATAGTGTTGGGGACAGTGGGCAAAGTTATTGACTCGCAAGGCAATATGGAAAAAGACAACTGCTTGGTCATCCTGACCCTGGAGCATTTTGATCTCTAGAATTTAAAAAAAAACTTTTTTTTCATAGAACAAATTATGTCAGTAACAAGCTGATCATAGGATAGGAAATCATGAATCAAACCATTTGCTCCTCCTTAGGGTCCAGCTAGTTGCTGGAACCAAGTTCCAAGAAGGCAGCCTCTGGAAATACAACTGGAGGAAAAACTCAAAATATGCTGTGTGCATTACTATAGCCCCAGATCTGGGCAGGGCATTGTTTCTTCCTCATCACTTTCCTTCTCCACCTGACTGAGTCACCCAATTCTCCACCCTGTTCTTGTTTACTCCTTTTTTTTCCCTCCTATAAATGTTGTCTGTTCACCTGAGCTGAGCATGTTGAAAACTGAACTCATAATTTCCTTCCTCAAACCTGCTCATCCTCCTTTATTCTTTCATGTCTGTTAGTGCCATCATGAGCAACCACTCACTAATCCCAGTCAGGAGCCAGCGACTCATCCTGTGAAGACTCAGCCTTCTCCCACCCTCCCACCCCCAATCCATACTGAAGTCTTTCAACTGCCAGGCTCCTCAGGGCTGCAGTGCTCTAAAATCAAATCTGAACATGTCATCATGCATCTCTATCATGAATTAGATCAAGGCATACCTCCTTAGGATCTAAGGATCCCGCCTTAGAGTGGAGTAGGATCCTGCACTGCCTAACCTGCCATCTTCCTACATTTCATTTCTCCCTCTTCCCCTCTCCTTTTTGATCAGCAATTTTAAGCTACTTGCAGTTCCCTCTTTTTTTCATGCCACTGAACTTTTGCTTATGTCTTTCTCTCTGCTTGGAAAACTACGTTATTAACCCTACTCATCCTCAAAACACAGCAAAGGATTTACTTCCTCTAAAAAACACTTCCACGTCCCACCCCCACCCCTAGGCCAGTAATTCTGAAATAGTAATTGTGTGTATGATTTACCTAGGGATCTCATTAAAACTCAGACTCACATTCAGTCAGAGTCTGGGTTGCGGTCAGAGTCTGTATTTCTCATGAGTTTCCAGGAGATACTGCTGCCGGTAGGAAAAATACACCTGAGTAGCAAGGCCCTGGGCTCACCGAAAGGTCCTCCTCTGAGTTCCCCAGGCTGACCTTTGTGTATCAGTGTCACCCCTGCATGAAATACTCTGGCTTTATGTCTCCACATGTTAAAAGCCCTTGGCGATTATAGAACCAAGTCTTTTTTTTTTTTTGTAAGTGCCAAGCACATATGTTACCAAGTAAAACTGAGCTCTCCTTGATGTGTTTTTAAGTCTTCCTTTTATCTTGTCCTCAGGGCAAAGGAAAGATTTGGTAACCTGAGGTCTTCAGGTCTTGGCATGAGTAGAAGGAAACAAATACTGGGTCACTATTTATATTTGTGTGTCATGTGCACACACACACACACACACACACACTTCTTTTTCCCCTGAAAATGAAAACTGCCAGACGAGGAACTCCTAACTCCAGAAGAAACCTGGCCTCAGTGCCTTTGGTGCCAGATACACAGATCTCTTAGCCCCTTCCTTCCTCTCCCAAATAGCAGGTGTTCTTACAGATGCAGGTACCAACACCTTAAGTCCATCAAGCCATCATTCATTTATTGAACAAGTATTGATTGAGCACCAATTCTGTGCCAAATATCATTTTCTTCTTTCACTGTTATCTCTTTCCTGCCCCTCAGAATGTAGCCAGGCTTCCTGGCCTGTCCCCACTTTGTTAGGCTCATATTTCTACCCTGAAGGGCAGTGTTCTGCACCAAGTCTTAAGCCATTTCATCTTTGATATATTTCACAGTAGGAGGCAGGTAAAGAAATGCCCAACCAGCAAAGTCTATTTGAAAATAAGAGAATGAGGTTTTTTAAGTGCACAGGCTAAAAGAGATGCTACCTGAATCAGGGCTGAGGACAAAAGAAAGATGCCAGGAACAGGAGGAAATGAGAGGCCCCACCTAAGCCCTGGTCCTCAGGGACTTGTGAGAGCAGCCCTGCCATCCCACTCCCCAGAACTTTAGAAGAGCTAGGTGAGTGGATTCCCTGAGGACCCAGGGACCTTTGTTCTTCATCTCCTAATCCTCTGCCCACAGACCTTCTGCCCAAACAGCACAAGACCATCTGCCGTTACCCAAACAGGCTGAGCATTTTCACATCTCTGTGCCTTTGCTCGTCTTGTTCTGGCTGCTTCTGTTGTGTTTCCTCTCTTCCTCTGCTGTTCTTCAAGGTTCAACATTAGTGTTGCTTCTTTTTAAAACTTCTCCCTAAGCTCACAGTCAAAATCCCCTTCCCTCTATGTTATCTTAATTGCATTACCACATTTCGATTCTTGTTGTAATTAATGAGTTAGTTAATTATATCCTTGTTGAACTCTTCGTTCTTACCTTACGGGTGTGGAGACCCTTCTTTGTACACCTTCCTATGGCTTGTATGGAGCACATTGTCACTATATATAAAGAGGGGAAGAGAAGGACAAACCCCCACTGAAGAAAAGACTAAATCAGACCAAAATTGGGTGCCCAGAGCTTCATCTGCACAAAACCACAACATCCTACAATTATTTTGAAGCATAAGTGCTCTACTGAGCAACTATTGTGTTCCAGGAATGTTGATGGACATTCTACATGCCTGACTTCTAATTCTTACAAAAAGGTGGGTCATATCCTTTCCAAATGAAGAAAAGTAAAAAGAAAGTTAAGTTATTCATGAAGACCGCACACCAGCAATTGCTGGTTCCATATTCATGATAAATATTGTATAGTCATCCCTAGGTCTGTTGATGTGTAGGGCCAAGCTTGTAGGCCTAATATTAGCATCAGGGTCCTCAAATTTTAAAAAAAGCTGGGGGGCTTTGCTAATCTTTGCTAATCATCTTGCATACTCGCATGCAAAGAGACTACATACTAAAATAAGTGATCATGAATACTTCAGAGATTCCCTACTTCCGTTCTGTGCTTTAGACGTTTGTTCCTCGGACTAGAAAAAAATGATTAGTTCATATGCATTTCTTTCCCCAAAAGCAAAGTAAAATTCCAAAGGCAAAAGTGCTATAAAAATGTAATAGTTACCTTTCTTTCATAGGTCTGACGCCGGGTTCTTGTTTGCAGAGCCGAAGAATGAGCTTCACAGTCAAGGTAGTAGAGCAAGGTACAGGCTTTTATTTAGAGATAAAGTGAAAGGAAAGAGCTGCCGGCTCACGCCAGGAGGCGACAAGAGAGTCAGTAGTGGTGCGTTGTCTAGGGGGTTTTATAGGCAGCTGAGGATTTTAGAGAACATGAAAAAAACTTAGGGGTGTGGACTTGTTAAGTGGTCTCTGAGTATTTAGAATTAACTTAACACAAGTAACTTCCTCTGATGATTTCTTCCTGAGATACCAGCATCTTGGTCTGGGAGCATATGAAACAAGGCCACCACCTGCTCAGCCCCCAAGGTGGGCAGGGGTATTGTTTGCTAAAAAGTAAGTTAAGAATTTCTAACGTCTTAACTTCTTGGGTATTAAAATGCAATCTTATATTTAAGGTGGAATCCTTCCTGCCTTTTACTGTTTTGTTTATGCCTAGGCTTACTTGCTAAATTAGTTGCCCAGTTTGCAAAATCACTTCATCAGATATGAAGGAGGAAGACAGCACATAGGCCTGGGCCTTTTAGTATGCTAAAGAGAACCTTACACATGATTATAAATGGTTAGCATAATAAAACATGAGCTACTCTTCTTTATCTGGGGAACATTAACTGATTTTACTGAAGAATGATTCTAGAGCTCAATGTTTAACATTAGAGTTTTAGCAGGGGGGATTTCCTTGCATGTAGTTACATTGCTCTGACTGCAAATATCCCGCCCTGCCCCCTCCGGAGGCCCTTACCCTACTCTGACTACATCCACGGTCCCTGTCTCAGGTACATATTATATTAAGTATACATTTCAAAAAATGAGACTTTTTCCCTTATAGGGGCTCAATTAAACCTCTGAATTATTGCCACTCATTTTATCGTATGAATCTGTTATAGTCCATCATAAGTTTTAGTTTCCTACGTAAACTGAGAGCAAACTGTGACGTCTGTCAACCCCACTGATTGTCAGAACTGATCTGGTGGATCAACCCTGCTGGAAAGGTATGCTCTTTCTTGCTGACCCTGCCGCCTGTGTATCTCCCTAAGCCGCACACTTTACTGAAGAGGATGTGTTTCCTAGATAGAGAAGGACACGGATCTACAAGGAGTCAGGTTCTTCTGCTGGAATATCACAAGACCTATGAAGTAGAATACACATCAAACCCCTCATTTAGAGTCTACCCA